CTCAGATTACTGCCTCATTGTGCTCACACTCAACAATAGCTCACATTTAACCACTGAGTTTTTGGCTGCAACGACTCCATCAGGCAGCCGCATGTTCACCAGAGTCATCAATGCTGAGGTCGTGACCTGATTTTATAAAGAACTAGACCTGTTGTTTTACTCCATTATGTGTCTGTGTGTCAGGTAACGTAAATCACACACGTATAAAAATCAAACTCAGTATAAAGCTATTGAAATTTGATGAAAACAGACTAACATCATACATTTATATCTGCTGTAATGATTCAGCTCAGACTTCATTTGGCACCACAATCAGGTCACATTTATATTTGTCAACATCTGTCAGTGTATATGTGTAACATGAAGATTAATGTCCCTACAACAAAGTTAATGTTTGTACAATGCAGAGTATATTTAAACAAACCATATTTACAATAATCTATCTCAACCATCGTGCTTTTTTCTGAACAGTATGATCAATAACACTGTGTCCCATCTCTGTCAGAGCTTGTCGTCTCCCAGTGTCCTGCTGGTGGAGCCATTCTATGGTGGATCTCACAAACAGCTGATCGACCTTCTGAACGAAAATATCATCGGCTGCTGCGTCTTCACACTCCCCGCCAAGAAGTGGCACTGGAGGGCGAGAACGGCTGCACTGTACTTCAGCCAGACCATCCCCACCTGTCCAACATACAGGTGAGACCTGCCACGTCAGCTCCTCTCCTTATAATGCAGCCGGTTGGACACGGAGCCCTTATTGATCCCTGAGCCTCGCACCTGAAATAAGACAAGGTCACACATATGGTTTGCCATTGGTGATGACTGAGAGGGGACTTCCTGTCTTCACTGAGATGACTTCCTGTGTTCATTGAGGAGGGACTTCCTTTGTTGACTGAGGAGACTTCCTGTGTTGACTGAGAGAGGACGTCCTGTGTTGACACTTCCCGTGTTGACTGAGGGAGGACTTCCTGTGTTGACTGAGAGATAACTTCCTGTGTTGACACTTCCCGTGTTGACTGAGG